ACAAACTTGATGAACATGGCATTGTTACTAGAAATAAAGCTCGTTTGGTTGCCCAAGGATATAATCAAGAGGAGTGCATAGACTATGATGAACCTTTGTACCGGTTGCAAGGTTGGAATCTATTAGGATGTTTTTGGCATTTGCTAGCTTTAAAAATTTCAAAATTTTTCAAATGGATGTTAAAAGTGCCTTCTTAAATGGTTTTATAGAAGAGGAAGTGTATGTTGAGCAACCCCCCGGTTTTATAGATCATGCTTTTCCTAATCATGTTTACCGGGTAAAAAAAGCTTTATATGGGTTGAAACAAGCTCCTAGAGCTTGGTATGCTCGCCTCTCTAGTTTTCTTGTTGAAAATGGTTTTTCAAAAGGATCTATTGATAACACACTTTTTGTGAGAAAAAGGAAAAATGATTTCATTTTAGTTCAAATATATGTGGATGACATCATTTTCGGTGCTACTAATGAATCCTTGTGCAAGGAATTTTCTAAAGTAATGCAGGATCACTTTGAGATGAGTATGATGGGAGAGCTTACATTCTTTCTCGGGCTCCAAGTCAAGCAAACTAAGGATGGGATCTTCATTTCACAAAGCAAGTATGCGAAGGAATTGGTGAAGAAATTCAAGTTGGAGAATTCTAAGCATGCGCCTACTCCCATGAGTACTAGTGTTAAGCTTGACGCGGATGAAAATGGTGAAGACGTGGACCAAAAATTATACCGAGGTATGATAGGTAGCCTTTTTTATCTTACCGCTAGTAGGCCCGATATTATGTTTAGTGTGTGTGCATGTGCACGTTTTCAAGCATATGAGTACTAGTGTTAAGCTTGACGCGGATGAAAGTGGTGAAGACGTGGACCAAAAATTATACCGAGGTATGATAGGTAGTCTTCTTTATCTTACCGCTAGTAGACCCGATATTATGTTTAGTGTGTGTGCATGTGCACGTTTTCAAGCATCTCCAAAAGCATCTCACTTAATTGCGGTTAAAAGGATCATTAAGTATGTTAATGGAACTTTTAACCTTAGTTTATTTTATCCAAGAAGCACTTCTTTTGATTTATATGGTTTTTGTGATGCCGACTTTGCCGGATGTAAGGTAGATCGCAAGAGTACTAGTGGAACATGCCAATTCTTAGGAAATTCCCTTGTTTCTTGGGCTTCCAAGAAACAAAATTGTGTTGCATTGTCCACTACGGAAGCGGAATACATTGCCGCCGGCTTATGTTGTGCTCAAGTTTTATGGATGAAACAAAGTTTAGTTGACTATGATTTGAATTTTCAAAATATTAAAATCTTTTGTGATAACACAAGTGCTATAAATATTTCCAAAAATTCGGTTTTGCATTCTAGAACTAAACATATTGATGTACGCCATCATTTCTTACGCGATCATGTAGAGCGACAAGATGTATCCCTAGTGTTTGTTGACACAAAATCTCAACTAGCGGATATATTTACTAAGCCTCTTGGAGAGGATGATTTTTGTCGCATAAGAAATGGTTTGGGCTTATGCACTATGTGAAAGTTCTACATTGCTTGCTTGTTTAGTTGCATCTTGCATTTTGCATTTCTTTCCCCATTTTTTGATGGTGACAAAGGGGGAGAGAAATCTCCTCATTTGTTGCATATATTTAGGGGGAGCTCATAGATAGGGGGAGCACCTATCTATAAGCTATTTTATTTTTGCTCTTATATAATGGTTGGTTGTCATCATCAAAAAGGGGGAGATTGTTAGCCCTTATGTTTTGATGATGTTCTTACAACCACCATTATCGGTACTAATGGCTTATTGAGTATAAATGTAGTAAATTCATTTGTCAAGCTCGTTAGTGCCATCAACGGAGGATGGATGGAATATACGCTACAACGAAGATATCCAAAGGAGGAGGAGGCCAAGAGATGAAGCAACGTTATTTCAAGAACGACAAATTCGATCAAAAGCTTCATCCGATTCAAGCTATATCAAAGCTCAAGTATTGCTCTCTATATGAGGATATTAGCTTTCTTTTGTTTTTCTCTCTAGTGCTAGAATGTAGGCAAAGAGTTACTGAGTTTACTTGAAGCTATTGGGAATCACACACACGATTTCTACTTATGTGTTTAAGCGTTTTTTCACAAAATACTATTTTTCACAAGTATGAGGACTTATCTGCAAAATTCTTTTTCCAAACAGTTTGTTTTTAGTATTAAAAACATTTTACATAGTTTCAGATTTTTCAGAGGTCAAATAAATATTTTGTAAATATTTCAAGTTGGTCAAAAAACTGTTTTCTGCAATATATCAGAAAGCGGTCGACCGGTCCGGTCGACCGCTCCCATCGCCTTTCCTCACTATTTTCCAGAGAGGTCGTCGGTCGACCGGTACGGTCAACCGAAACACGGTCGACCGAAATCTCGATTCTCAAATCGGTCGACCGGGCCGGTCGACCGACGATGGTTCTGTTTGTTTTCCAAGTTTTCGAAGCAGCTCGCGGTCGACCGAATTTTTCGGTCGGTCGACCGAAGGACTTTTTCGGTCGACCGAAATTCTCTTCGGTCAACCGGATTTTGTCTTTGGTCAGCTTCACTTAATAGTGTTTGGCACAGTCTGAGCTAACAACCTGAAAAGGAGATTATCTTCCTAAATGGGAAGATTGGGTTTTGTTTTAAAATGATTTTATCTTTTCTATAAAACCCTCAGTCTTCTTCTTCTTCAATAAGCCCTAACGTTTGCAAAAACCAGAGAGCTCTGTTTTCCTGAGAAAATTTTTAAATCTGTTTTTCTCTGTGTTTGTGTATGTGATTCACTTCCCAGCTTCAGTAACCTTTCTCTTTGTCATAGGGGCTGTGTAAAGAGAGAGTCTTGCACTTTTTTCTTCTGCTGTGAGGGTGAGATCTTGTGTAAGATCTACTGTGAGGGTGTGATCTGTTGAGATCAAACTGTGTAGTGAGAGAGATCTGAGGAGATCACTGTGTAGACGAAGTTCCGGCTTCCAAACCGGGTGTGTAGTGGATTTCTCCTCGAGAGTGGGGAGCGGGGACGTAGGCCAGAGGGCCGAACCTCATTAACACATCGCGCGTCAAGGATAACGAACTCCTAACACTATCTCTCTTCCTTTTATCGCATTTTTGTTTTGTGTTTTGCTTGTGCTGAATTTATATTGCATATTAGAGCCTCTTGACCCTAATCACCCAATTACAAATATCTCACATATATCAATTCTTTGGTCTTGATATTTGCTCATATTTTGATAAAGCTTCTCTATTGTATTGTGCTCTTGAAAGCTTTGTTTCGATCACCACATTGCCTCCACCTCCATGGATATCATCGTTGTAACTCTTTGTTACATCCAATCCTCCAACAGTTGCACTATCTTGCTTGGAAAAATACAATCTACACAATATCACTCAATCAAGCAATTAGTACCAATAATGGTGTTTGTAAATCATCATCAAAACAAGAGAACTAACACGATTAGTGCACAAACGCTCTGGCCACATTGATATCTCTATTGTTTTTGCTAATTTTGAAACTCTTCTGGAAATTATGTGAGAATATTCTTGACAAATTTAGCTCTCCCAATGCATAAGTTAGTAAAATACAACAGAGTTAATAGGTGCACTTGCAATAAACCCTATACAACAGAGTTAATAGGTCCATTTGCAATTAACCCTTCAAAACATGAAGCGAAAATCACATAGAAATACAAACAAAACCTCTCATAAAATGTGGGAAGCTTAGCATTTCTGTCTATAGTTCTGTTTCTTAAAGTTTCTTAAACCATTGCATAAAGTTGTGGAAGAGTTAGAGCTTATATTTTATATTCTAACATACCTTCACAGATTTAGGGCATTTTTACGTTCCGAAAACTAGAGTCAGATAGGAGTGTCAATTTTTAAAAAAAAATTGCTTTAAATTCGTACACATGAGATTTGAACTTGGGTTGTTGTGATATTATTTTAAAGTATCTCTAATCATTACATCAAAACTCTAAAGTTGAACCTTGAGCTGGGTGCGTCGGTCCGCCTTCCGATGTGTACTACGTGTCTCGTCCCTTCTGCAGGCGATGTGATATTGCGTTGTGCCTCCGGCGCTATTATTTAGAAAAATTAGAGTGTTCAAAGCAATTAATCTTACGCTTTGATACCGCCTAAAACTTTAAAGTTGTAGTAAGAGTTGAGGGTTCTACTTTTATATTGTAAGAGCAAGTGCATCAAGCTCCCAGTTGGGAGTCCTAGTCAGCAAGCTCTCAAGAGCTCTCAAACATTTTAGAATAAAAAATTAAAAACTTAAGCCTTAGGAGGCACCCCTTCTCTTATGGAGCTCTAACAAGCTCCTAGTTAGGAACTCCAACAATATAAAAAAAACCCCTCTTCTATTTTAATATTTTACCCATTACTTTCAATTATATTTAAACATCTTGTATTTTATTTCTAACCGTTGGATACGGCCTTCGAGGGAGCGCACACGGTCTTCGAGGCAACCAACGGCCTACGAGAGAGCGCACACGGTCTTCGAGGTAACCCGCGGCTTTCTTCATCTCCCCATCTTCCTTCATCTCCCCAAAACCGTCGCCCCATCTTCCTTCATCTCTCCAACCGAGTGCCCTCAAATCCTTCATCTTCCTTCATCTCCCCAAATCTTCATCTCCGTCATTATCTTCAACTCAGCCTTCGAACCCAGTCCTCTTCATCTCCGTCATTATCTTCAACTCAGCCTTCGTTGACCAACGGTGAATCAAACCCTCTCCCGCAACCTCCGCCGCGGCCGATCGGAGAGGGAACTTTTGCGAAGATGAAGTTCGCGCAGAACACGAAGATTGGGGAGAGCGTTGTGATGAAAGTGCTCGATCGAGCTACCATCATCAAGCATAAGATAGTCGATCAGGTTCGAACCGGTCCAAGTCTCGCTGTTTTCCACGGCCACGTCAGCCTTGAGAGCTCTCTTCAAAGCTTGCTGCCCTTGCTCTAACCCTGATAAATTCCTATTCCTCGCTCTCCAGCCTCTATAAATTTGCACTCGGTTCCCCAAAATATACACAACCAAGAACTTGCCAAAACCTCCCACACAAAAATTCCGCAGAAAATGTCCAACAGAACCCCAATACCAACCTCAAAAGAGCTACTAGAAGCCCAAAACCATCTATGGAACCAAATCTTTAGCTTCATGAACTCCTTCTCCCTAAAATGCGCCGTTGAGCTCGGCATCGCCGATGCCGTTCACGATCACGGTGACCCAATAACCATATCTGACCTCGCCACGGCCCTCAACATCCCCTCCTGCAGACTCCACAACTTCCGACGTTTCATGAGCCTAATGACCCACAACGGCTTTTTTAGACAAAGCACCTCCGAAAACGGCGAAACTACATACTCCCTCACACGCAACGCCTCCCTCCTCATCAAACAAAAGGGGGAGTCAATAACTCCGTTCATTGAACTTGCGCTGTATCAACCATTGCTTGATCCATGGCAGCACCTGAGCTCATGGTTCAAGTGCGAAACCCCATCGACCGCATTCGAGCTTTGTCATGGCATGTACATTTGGGGGGCTACGGGCGAAATGCCCGGGCTAGCCAAGACGGTGAGCTATTATATAGAAAATCCAATCTATTGAACAACCTAGAAGCAATGAGGTCTAATATTATCGGCGAACTCCCTCAAAGTTGAGAGGTTACTCTAAAACGTGACCCAAATATCCCCATGTCTAATTTTAAACACCCTGCAAAAAACTGCGGTTAACATTGTTAAGGAAGTTTTTTTTGATAAAATCTCATAGTTAAATGGGGTCTCCAAATAACCCCCAAACTTAAAGGGGGTGGTCGTTTTTATATTTTGAAAATTATGGGTTTCTTTTTGTTTTTTGTTTTTGTGGGTGGGGTTTTAAAAAAGGGCTTTTTGTCTTTAGGTCCAATAGTTTACCTCCCTTTATTTTTAAACCCAAGTAGTATTAGTTGTATCTCTAAGCCCAAATTTCTTTTTGTATTTATCTTTAAACCCAATTCCAAAATATAATACTCTTATATGTGGGTCCCCCTATATAAGAAAATTGGGTTTAAAGACAAATACAAAAAGAAATTTGGGCTTAGAGATACAACTAATACTACTTGGGTTTAAAAATAAAGGGAGGTAAACTATTGGACCTAAAGACAAAAAGCCCAAAATAACTAAAGAGGACATGAATAAAACTGATTTACTCCAAGTTGTTTTATAGGTGAGCGATGGATTGGATAGTGATTCAGCTGCGGTTGCTAGGGTTATTGTTGACGATTGCGGTGATCAGTTTGAAGGGGTTAAGTCTTTGGTTGAGGTGGCGGGAAATAAAGGGAAGATTGCTTTGGAAATCAAGAAAAAATTTCCGGAGATTAAATGTAGTTTGTTTGAGCTGCCTCATGTGATTGATGCTCTCGAGAAGAGTGAGGATATTGAGTACGTTGCTGGTGATATGTTTGAGGGAATTCCAGCTGCCGACGTGCTGATTCTCAAGGTAACTTGATCGTGTTGGATTTATTTATTGTGAAGAGGATTTCAATTCTGGGTGAAATTTCAAATTTTATTATTTTATTTGTTTGTTATTATTATTTGGCATCGAACCTACAACCCCACACGAGAGTGGGACACGGCTTTGACATGTGACAAGCCGCCCCCAAGCTTATTTATTTATAGTCCAGACTTATTTGCAAAATAATTAGTAGCTCACCGGTCCCTAAACTTATTTATTTATAGTGGCAAATTTGAGCAATAATTAGTCTATCATTGCCTTAATTAAGTCTTGGGCCATAAACTGAGAAAATTCGCTGAAGAAAAATACCAATAAGTGTATTAATCTCCCTATATTACTTTGCTAGTGCTACTCACAAAGAGTGTGATCATGATGACTCATCACTTGAAAATTGTAGTGGTGCGTCATCATGACCCTACTCTTTTGTGAGTGGTAGTGCCAAAATAGCATAGGGGTAGTAGTACACTTATCACTACTCTTTGTTGAATTGTATTTGGAGTAGATTTTTGGCTCTTGGAAGTTAACAGAGCAATTGAATCTAATCAGAGTCTAAGCTAACTAGCCAATATTCCTGTAGAGCCTAGAGATAGAAATAGTAAAGGTGGCTTTGATATCATGTCTGTTAGGATATAAAAATATAAAACTTCAGAGTTTAGGTATGATAATTAGAGAGACTTAATTTAAGATGATATTAGCACAAATCGGGTTCAAGTTCTACTAGTCATGAATTTAATGCAGATTTTATGAAAATTGATACTGATGTGTGAGTCTAGGTTTCGACCCATTAAATGGGCTCTCAACCAGTGGGGCATGTCAAAAACTTTACTCTCACCATAACTTCTAGTTTTGATCTAATTGTTAGAGGGACTTAATTTAATTAAGAATATCAAAGGTCCTCGTTACTCTGTCAAATATTTAAAGTGAGGATTGAGATCATAATTTATACTCTTAACAATCTGCAAATTATTATTTCTAGTCTGTACTGGTTACTTGGAACGACGAGGAGTGCGTGAACATACTTCAGAGATGCAAGGAGGCGATCCCCAACAAGATAAATGGAGGAAAAGTGATCATAATCGACAAAGTTATCGATGCAAATATTGAGCTTCCAAAATTCAACGAAACCCAAATATACTTCGATATGCATATGATGGTTCACGTCACAGGGAAGCAGAGAACTGAGAATGAATGGAAGAAGCTCTTCACTGAAGCTGGATTCAAAGAGTGCAAGATAACTCCGGCTTTGGGCATTCGTTGTATTATTGAGATATCGTATTAGTTAGTTAAGTCATTTGATGAATATATTGGTTTGTCTATATTTGTATGTTATGTATGTCAGTACGTATGTGTATTAATGTTGTGGTTTGGTTTTGTAAAAGAACTGTGCGTGTGTGTTTTGTGGGTGGGTGGGCGGGCATATCTATGCAAAGCCTTAGGTCGGTTGACCCCTTGTATCGTACTATCGCTTAATTACTGAAAGAGAGATGCAGTTCTCTTGTTGTGGATGGACCCCCTGTACTTATCACCAAATGGCAGATAGGTCTGATATATTTTTGACTCTTTTACTCATGAGGTCTACTTGTCAAAAACAATTTTCGCTTGGACAAAAGGTACAAGCAAGTTCACTTAAGGGTTCTCTCTGTAACGACAGAACTACATGGGGTCTATATATGCAGTTAGGCGATTGTACAGTTGGTGTGTTCGCAATTAACCTATAATCTATTGCTTGTGAAATTCTTAATAAGTTACTTGTACGCAATTTTTTTGTGAAGTCTACAAAGTACCAATTTCATGGATAAACAAAAAGTGGAACATCAAACACAATTTCCTCCTCAGGCATCAATTGAGGGATGCACGTTAAAACAGATGAGATAAACGTAATTATACCAACAATAATTGAGAATGTGTAGGAAAGTGTCAAGTTCTTCACCCATAATGAAGCAAGACTTAGAATGTTTGAGTGCTGTTCAAGAGGTATGTAAAATCTAAAATTTATTACTAGTGTTAAATTACATACTTTTTATATTGAAGTACTAATAATCTCTTTATGTTTATGTTTAACAATTGCAAGTGTTAAATTTCATACTTTCTATATTGAAGTACTAATAAATTGTTTATGTTTATGTTTAACAATTGCAATTAAGAGAAAAAAAATTGATTATCGATATGCTCATTGGAATTCAACATACTTGATGTGTTAGACCCTAGAGGGGGGGGGGGGGATTAGGGTCTTATGCTAATCTAATCCGATTAAATACCAATTAAAATTAATTAACAAGATATCCTAGCAAGAATAAAATGCAATAAGATACATTAGCTAGGATAAACAATATGAACAATGAGATATATCCTATATGATGAAATATATATATGCAAGGATATATAAACTAACACAAGATGATATATCCTACCAAAGAGATATACAATATGATATATGCAAGGATATAAAAACTAACACAAGGGTAAACAATATGAACTAGATAGTGGATCATATAAATAATGAGCTAATGACAATGGCGACAAGAAATATAAACACAAGTATAAATAAACGCCAAAGCACACTCAAACACAAGATATGATCACGGAGTTCGGACCTTCCGTCCTACGTCTCCGCTCCCCACTCCCGGGGAGAAATCCACTATCACAACCGGGTTTTCTACGCTCACCCGAATAACGTTTACACCTCACAGTGTCGGTTTTCAACGCTCACCGATCAACGTCACTCCTCACAATCGGTTTTATAGTTCACCGAAAACTTCACAATACACTCGGTTTTCTAGCTCACCGAAAACCTAACAATCTCACAATGTAACAAATATAAATTTGTTCTCTACAATAGATGAGAACACAATGAAGCACAACTCAATGTTACAATCTCTCACAACCCTAATATATTATGTATGCAAATACAATAAGCTCAAGTGGGTGTGTGTAACAATGAGATAATATAATCAAATCTAAACTCAATATAAAAACTAGCTTTAAAGAATGATAATCAAATAACTAAGCAAATGTAAAGCTAGATAGAGTTTAGAAAACTTCTCCAATAGATGACAAGATTGCAAACTCCTCTTTGTAACAGCAAACCCCAAAAACAAACTAAACAAACTTAAACTCTTTTAAAACTTGTTAAAACATTCTCTTGGGTTAATCTAGAACTGAGATCAATGAGGGTATTTATAGCCTCCCAAAACCTCAGCCAAAACCCCCAAGCAAAAGACAAAAACAGCCCCAGCCAACGGTAACAAAAATAGCCGTTGGAAGGAATCTGACTGAGCGGCGGTCAATCGAAAAAATTCGCGGTCGACCGCGATCCAGATCCCAATCTGAGAAAACAAGCAGAGACTTATTCGGTCGACCGGTGCGGTCGACCGATGGAAATTTCGAGCTCTCGGTCGACCGGTGCGGTCGACCGACAAACTCTCTGCTGCCCACTGACAAATGATCACATGTGCGGTCGACCGAGGACTGATACATTCCAAAACTGATTTTAAAACAGATTTTTTTGACTTTTAGAAAATTGTTAAAAATAACAAATGAAGTCCAAAAAATATAAAACTTTGGGAAATGTATATAAACATGTAAATGAACATGTTACAAAAAGAATTTTCCAAATTGCATTTCCCATTTGTGAAAAATCATCATTTTACAAAAATATGAAAAACACAATGGTAAATATGAAACATGTGATTTCATATTTATAAACATGAAAACTCAAAAACACATGTATGTATATATATAACTATATATATGCATAGAAACCAAAACTTCTGTATATATAACTATATATATATATATACGAAGAAACCAATAAATGTGTGTGTATATGATATTGAGCTTAGAGTATCTAACACACATAATATAACACCTAAACTAAAGTTACCCAAGCAATGATCTTGATCTTCATTGTAGCTCAACTTGGTACACGTTGCGGATGAAGTTTGAACTTGATCTTTAACTTGAATTGTATAAGCTTCAACCCGACATTCCGCCAACCTCCTTTGGATATGATCGTTGAAGCTCTATTCCATCCATCCTCCAACTACATTGTTTGTCTATAATAAATAAGAAAACACAAATACTAGACAAACAACATTAGTGATAAATTGTTTGTTAAACATCATCAAAACAAGAAGGCCAACATGATGTTGATCGCCTTGATGTTTAAAGATGCATTCCCAATGTACAAGATAGGGAGTCTAGTTATGAGTGCGTGCTAGAACTTTAATAATGGGATAGAGTGGAGAAGATCTACAAATTATTGGTTGTTATTAATTTGGTAATTAATCTAATTTCAGGTAGTGACTAGTCTACTTCTAATTTGTATCTCGTTGAAGTCTATAAGATTAAAAATTTTTATAAAGAAGTCACCACTTGACGATGATATTTACATTCAACAAATGGCTATAGTAAAATAAAAGTTAAATTTAAAAATACTAGGGAGAAGCAATTTATTAATGGCGAGTAGATTTTGTTATGGATTCTAGATGAAAAACGCGTATGGTGCAATTTTGTTATCCAAAAACTATGTTGAGAAGAAGATGCTTTGATAAATATAGAAAATGTGAAAGATGCATTGAAGGAGATATGGGATGAGTATGTTGCTTTACATAATGCTAGTAATGATGGAAAAACACTCTTCGAAGGCATATAATTGTACAAGTAACTCACTATCTTCTATGAGTTCATGGAGCAATGTTCTTAAATTTGCGAAAAGTGTAGATAGTATACCTACTTCCAAATATGAGATGGAGATGCTACTTGGCAGCCGAGCATATATATATATGATGATATATATATAGTATATATATATATATATATATATATATATATATTATATATATATATATATATATATATAATATATATATATATTTTAAATTTATTATATATTATATATATATATATTATATATATCTATATATATATATATATATATATATATATATATATGGAAAATTGTTCCTAAGGTGACGCCTTAGATAATCATCTAAGAACTCAGCCTAAAATCACATGATTGAACTACATTGTGGATGATCTGCTTCGTTGAACTTGATCTGCATATTCTAAAACCCCAACACACCAAGTTTGGGGTGAACTCATCGTCGTTTGACCCTCCGTCGAGCCATGTGAAAAGTTCTATTCATTAAAAACCGTTAAAATTCATATGAGGGGATGAAGGGTAAAACGACGACTGTTTCACCGCAAACTTAGTGTGTTAAAGTTTTAAAATATGTAGATCAAGTTTAACGGAGCGGATCATCCACAATATAGCTCAATCATGTGAGTTTAGGCCGCGTTCTTAGATGATTATCTAAGGCGTCACCTTAGGAACACTTCTCCCATATATATATGAGGTGTGCTTGGTACCAAGCATAAATTTTATGCTTGGTAGTGAGGTGGCACAATCACCTCCACTCATTCAAATGGGGAACCACATTCACATGGCTTAAGGAGTGTATGAGGACATGTAAACATTTGAATGAGTGGAGGGGATTATGTCACCTCACTACCAAGCATAACTTTTTGTGCTTGGTACCAAGCATACCCATTTTTCTCATATGTGTGTAGTATATATATGTATATAATATATATGTATATATATATATGTATATATATAATATATATATATATTATATATATATATATATAAATATATATATATATATATATATATATATATATATATATAAATATATATATATATATATATATATATAACTAAGTGGATAGCAATAATTTATCCACTAACTTTTTAAACGCGTCTGATATTGCATTGGATCCGTGATAAATATAAGAATCTTTAAGATTTGTGCATCTATATAATATATATATATAAGTATATAATATTATATATATATTATAATAAATATAATTATATATATATATATATATATATAATATATATATAATATATATATATAACTTAAGTGGATAGCAATAAGTTACCACTAACTTTTTAAACCGTTGATATTGGCATTGGGAATCCGTATAAGATATGAAGAAATCTTTTAAGATTTGTGCATCTTTTATGACACAAATCGTTGAGACAAGATGAGTGGATAAAAAGTTTGGTGGAGCAAGGGCTCCTATCCACTAAGTGAAGGAGTTTTAATCTCTCCTCTCTCTCTCTCTCTCTCTCTATATATATATATATATATATATATGAGAAATATGGGTATGCTTGGTACCAAGCATAAAAATTATGCTTGGTAGTGAGGTATAAAATCTTATCCATCGTCATTCAAATGTGGGAACAAATTCACATCGGGGTAAAGTGAGTGGATGGGATGTGACACATCACTACAAGCATAAAATTTGTGCTTTGTAGGCCAAGCATACCCATATTCTCTCACTCTTTCTCATCTCTC